ATGAAGAGAAGAAGGCTGTGTGAGGACCGAGGCAGAGACTGATGTGATGCAGGTGCCAGCCAAGGAATGCCCAGGGTTGCTAGGAACCACCAGAAGCCAGGAAGAGGCAAGGAAGGATTCTTCCCTGGAGACTTCAGAGGCAGCATGGCCATGCCAACACCTTGATTTGGGACTTCTAGCCTACAGTGGGAAGGGTGCCAGGATCAGGGAGGGAAGCTGGGTGGGAAGGTTGGAGAAGTATCCACAGAGGAGATGAGGATTGAATAAGAGTTTACTAGGCTGGGCAGGGAAAGGCATGATAGCAGAGGGACCAGCATGTGCAAAGGCACAGAGGCATGATGTACATGGCAGGCTGGGGCAGGGAGAAGGATAAAGTGTTCGAGTAACACCAGTCACAGTTCTTGTCCTCTGGGACATTACAGACTTTTGTTATAGGTGGTGAAGTTAAATTCAGCCTATGTTGGGACTTCGTGTTGTACACCAGAGATAGCAGACACTGAAGAGGATGAGGCAGGAGGGGACCACCCAGATGGAGAGTGGATGTTCCTGACCCGGAGGGTTCAACATCGGAGCCACCACTGCTTATGGGCAGAGATTCAGGAAGGGTCTGAACAGGGAGGGTCCAGGCTTCCAGTGACTCAGTCCTGCTGGGGCTGTGTCACTGTGCCAGGGCACTGTCCGATGCAGTATCTGGCTAGCCATGACCTGGCCAGTGAATGGTCTAATTGTGGCCTCAGGACAGCCAGGCCTTCTTTCAAGATGCCCCCGGAAGTCGGGGCTGGGGTGGGTGTGCAGTGCTGAGACCTCCTGCCCACTCTCCCTGCTGGCTCCTTCTCCTGCTCGATTTGACTCTGGGACAGGGTGTTTGATCTTTTTGTTAGTGTTTTTTTGCTTAGCTCTCGCTCCACTTCTGTTTTTTCCACCTTCCCTTGTCGCCTGTTGAGATGATTAGTCAGGCCATTTGACATTTTTTACTTAAAATGTTTCAGTTTAACTGCTGCCAGCTAAATACATTTTGACCTCAGCTATGGACTGTGATTGTCTACTCAGCCAGGGAGGCCAAGGAAGCGTTGTGCCAAAACCATCTCACTCTTTCTTTTGGGGTTGAGATTGTCCTCAGCAGATTGGAAAGGATCCCTCATAATCTAGGATTGTTTTGCAAAAGCCCATTCGGATACTGGGTTTGGCGCAGGTGTGCGGATTCGTCTGCCACCCAGGCATCTTTGACACGTGGAGCTGGCCTGCGATGTGTTTGGCCCTGGTGCCATCTTTCTTTATAAATCCTGGGAGGCAATTTACATAGTTCCTCTGTTGCCCAGGGAGACTTGGACCAGCGTTGAGCAGCCACAAATTCTGACAGCTTATTAAATATTGGACTAAGAGGAAAGGAAGAGAAAGTCAAGGCGTTAGCAAGTCTCCAACAAGGATTTTTGGAGGCCACAGAAGGTGTTTATAGATGGGAAGGCTCCACTTCTAATTCCAGGCAGATGGGGCAGGCTGGAAAAAGCCCTCCACCCTCAGGCTTACCCGGGTATTTGACCACCCAGACTTGCCAGACTCTGTTCAGGATGGGGAAGGGGGAGAAAAGAGGGAAGGACGAATGACACCTTAGCAGAGGAGTGGGGGCGCTTGAGCTAGTGCCTACACTCATTTACCTCTGAGTTGGAGATGGAGCTCCCAGAGACGATGCACATTCACCCTCCTCATTCATTTACTCTTCCTTAATTCATTCAACGTGTGTTTATTGAGCATCTGTAACCTATGTGGCAGACACTGAGGCCAGCCCTGGGAATGCAGAGGAGCACAGGACAGATATAGGCATCTAGAGGGGAAGACAGTGATCAGATAATTATAAATAGAATGAGGGTCTCAAAGGGGAAGAGTAGGGGTTAAGGGGGCGTTCAATAGGACAGCTGACCCAAGCTGGGGCAGGGGGTGCTCAGAAGGCCTCCTTGATGCAGCAACTTTTAATCTGCTGTGCAAGGTGCACGTTGAAGTCGCGTCACGGGAAGTGGTAGGACAGGTGTGTACCAGGTCGCGGCAACTGCACATGCGAAGGCCCTGAGACAAGAGAGAGGAGGGTGTGAAATGACAAAGCGTGGCTGAAAACAATGGGGCCAGAGAGATAGGCAGGTAGGTGCTGGATCGTAGAAGACTCTAGAAGACACCTAAAGGATGGGGGGTTTTGTGCAAAGGTCTCTGGGAAGCCACGGATCATCTTGATCAGGTCTGTGTTTTAAAAAGATTACTGTGATTGCTGTTCAAGGAGGGATCACGGGGCAGGAGTGGAAGCCGGGAGCCCCCAGGGAGCCTGGCCAGGGCGTGAGGATGGCTCGTGCTTGCGGAAGTGGCAGTGGAGACAGAGGGGCTGGAGGTGTCTGTGATTGGTTACAGGCTGTGGCAGACAGGATCTGTGGGTGGAGTGGGTGAAGGGTGGTCAGGGAAGGCTCCTTTGAGTGGAGCCCTGCGGGGGAGTAGGGAGCGAAACACGTGGGCGTGACATGCGGGACAAGTGTTTTCAGGTGGAGGGCGCAGCAAGCGTGAAAGCAGAAAGTGGGCCTGTTGGACCGTGGGAGCCTGAAGGGCAGCACAGCCAATGCTGAGCGAGGGGGACGTGGTGGGAAAGTGACAATAGAGATGACAGCTGAGAGGCCACAGGGAGGCAGGGGGATCTTGCAGGTCCCGAGACTCAGCTGAGAAAGCTGGCAAGGCTTCGGAGGGTTTTAAACAGGGAAATGACCTATTTTGACTTACGTTTTCAAAAGATCACACAGGCTGCTGTGTTGAGAGGAGATTCAGGAGGCCAAGGTAGAAGCAGAGAGACCAGTGATGGCGCCATTGTAACATCGGATGAGAAAAGGTGGCGGCTGGATGTGAGTCAGTGCGGGGATGGTGGGGCGTGGTTGGGCTCTGGATATATCTGGAGCAGACAGAGTACGGGAGAGGAGAGGGGTCAGGAGTAGCCCGTGGCTTTGGGCTGAGACACTGAAGGAAAGGTGTTGTCCTCTCCCGGGTGGGGGAGGCTTGGGAGGAGTAGGTTTGGTGAGGTGAGAGTGGTCTGGAACTCACTGAGTTTGAGGTATCTATTTAACATCACAGTGGAGGGGTAGAGTAAGCACTGGGGTCTGGAATTAGAGAAAACTGAGCCCTGGAGTGTACCCGCGTTTATTCGTCAGGAAAACGAGGAGACAAGAATGAAGCCTGGGGGAGTCAGAGGGGAAGCAGGAGCAGGTGGCGTCCCAGAGCTGGGTGAGGAAGGGGTTTGAAGAAGGAGGATGGGCCAGCAGTGTCCTCTGCTGCTGACCACGCAAGTAGGACAGGGAAGAGAAATGGGCTGCCAGTTTGGGCGCTGCAGGAGTCATTGGTTGTCTTCCCGAGTGCAGCTTCAGGGAGAGCAGAACTGAGAGCCTGAGCAGAGGGGTTCAAAGAGAGGAGGTTGCAGTACAATGCCAGCCCGTAGCTCAGGGGACAGTGTGCAGGCTGAGGCAGGACTGACAATCCAGGCGGGAACTCTGGACCACTGCCAGGTGGTCTGGGCAGCAGGGCAGAGCTTCAGACTCCAGCAGGAGAAGCCAAAGTGCAAGGCATACAAATGAGGAGGAAAGGAAAAGTCCAGAACCTGGACCCAGAGAGCCCGTGGGGAGGAAGGCTACCACTTGGGAGGGGGCACTCTGGTGCCAGGCTCTGGGCAGCAAGTCTTATTCCAGATGCTTCCATCGGTGGGGAGAGAACTTTGCCAGCACGGGGTTGGGACAGGGCTGGCCAGGACAGGATGGGAAGGAAACCAGCCATGAAGCTCTTTGGTGCCTGCAGCTGAGCAGGGCAGTGGTTCTTGACCATGACTGCACATGTCAGCCATCTGGGAAGCTTTCCAAACATACAGAGTCCTGGGCCCCACCTCTGAGAATCCCTGTTCGTCCATCTCGAGTGGGGCTCAGCCCCGATTTCAAACGTCTTCCTGGGTGATTGCCATGTGCAGGCGGCACTGAGAACCGCTGCTCTGCGCGTCAGCTCATTCCTGAGCTGGGGGCTGAGCCAGCGTGGGGGCACTTGCAGACGAAGGGTGCGACAGAGGTCGTCAGCCCTGGCATCTGAGGGCAGCGATTGCCGTAAGCGCTGAAGGAATTTGTTGGCTTTCCCCAGAAAAGCAATTCTCATAACATGTACCAAAATGAAAATCTCAATTAATTCTGCAGTTTTATAGCTCCTCAGAGGATGGAGAAAAACATCATTTGGCACCAGAAACAAACTTTATTCTGATGGTGCAGGACAATTTTACAAACGCTAGATACAGAATTGCACATACTTCTCTGGAATTTCAATGTACTACGTCCACAGAACACAGAGAAACACGGTATGGCCAATTTCTCACGCTGCCACCTGGACCAAGTGTTTCCAGGAACCCTCTTGGATCTCTTGGTCCTCCAATTCTAGATTTCAGTGTTGCCCTGGGTACATATGGTTTTTTTCAGCCCAGAATTTCTTCCTTTGGGGACCTGCTTCTACCTGGTTACATGGGCTGTCAGTCACAATGGTTAACCCCACCTCTGCCCGTGGGGACGTGATCCAGGACTAGCCAGTTACAGCAGCACAGTCCCTGGCAACAGTGACCAGCTCGAGAGGTAGGCATGGAGTTCCAAAAGGGTCTTCAGCATCGTTTTTAGGTTTAATATATAGATAAAGGTAAAGTGCTCTCCTGAAGATGCGAAGCTAGGGGATGTGAGTCCGAGTTTATCAGTTGTCATTGTCCTCACCCTGTGTGGATAAAGAAGCTTGTTTGTAGAATGAAGCTTAATAGAAATGAGGTAAAAAGGGAGGAAAGTGGGTTGAGAGAGAGAGAGAGAGAAGAGAGATGGGCATAGGGGAGAGACAGGATAAAGACAGAGATGGGAGGGGGAGAGAGAGAGAGTGGAGAGAATTAGTTCCAGGCCTCCAGGCTCTGGTACTTCAGTCCTGTGAGCCCTCCCTGTTCTTAATCCTTTTAGGGCTGAGCTCTTTGGAGTTGGGTTTCCATCCCTTATAGCAGAAGGCATCTTGGATAAGACGGGTTTCTCGACAACCTCATGGGAGGGTGGACATGTGGGGTATACACTGGAGAGTGAGGCAGGCGTGATCGAAGAGTTTGTGAGGCAGCTGTCCCTGGGATGTCCAGGTGTCTGTCTCAGGGTCATAGCAATCGAAGGAGGCTGAGTCTTCAATGTTGCAGTCTGTGGTCAGCCGCCGCCCGCCTGTCACATACAGCTTGTTCCCCATCACCGTGGCCCCGTGGTGCATTGTCCGGTCCTTCATGTCCGCACATTTGACAAATTTGTTGGACTGAGGGTCATAGGCAAGAATCCTCCTTGTGTAACCTGAGAACCAAAAGACACGTGGGCAACCTCTCGTCTGGGACGGGAGGTCAGCAGTCCTGGGCTGCCTCTGATCCCCACCGCTGCCTGACACGGAGGACAGGGCTCTGAGCTAGTGTGGGATGTTGTGGCAACCCACCAAGGCCCGGCATGTGGCAGAGCTGGGGGTAGCACCCAGATCTATCTGGCTCTGGCCCGGCATCCTTCACCCTGAGTCAAGGCAACACATAAGCTGTTCTTAGATTGGGAGCAGCCTCCCAGTTCTAGTAACTTTCTCAATCTCATTGGCATTTTCATCTCTCATATACCCATCCAAGAGCTGTAACAGTCCCAAGAAGGACCCTTTGGAAACTCAAAAGTGGGTCCCCACAACAGCCCTATCTGGTAGGTACTTTTAGGATCCCCATTTTACTGATGGGCAAACTGAGGCACAGAAAGATATATAACTTGCTAAAGAGCATATATATAGCCAGTTAGTGGCAGAGCCAGGATTTCAACCCAGGTCCAGCTAACCCCAAAACTAGTCCGCTTAACCATGACACTATACTGAGATTACAGAGAAATAACTATTAGTAGCTAATATTATTAACAATAGGAAGCATTTTTTATTTACCGTATGTCTGGGATAGTGTTAAGTACTTTAGATACATGAGTACGTTTTATTAACACAACAACTCTGTGAAATATGTATTATTTCATCCATTATTTACAGATAAAAACAGGGAGAAATTCTGGATGAGGAAAGAGTCTTGTCAGATTGTCCACGCTCCCCTGGTTGGATGGATGTGCTGTTAAAAGGACTGTCTTATAGAATAACATCTGTCTGTTAGTGCCTGTTCTTTCCATGGGAGATGTCAAGTTTGTGTCCAGCCCCGCGACCCTCTGTTCAAACTCACCTCCCACAATGACAATCCGCTCCCCGAGCACCACTGCAGGGGCGCACACATTCTTGATCACTCTAGTCTCCATTTTGAACCACGTGTTTCTGGAAATGTGATAAACCTGAGGGACAAACAGAATCATGTCACTGCATCTTAAATATTTTTTTAAAAGACAGAAGTATTAATTAAGAGGGTGAACTAGAAGTGAGTTTTTTCTTTCTACTTTTCTTCGGTTTAAAAAATATACCTACAGTTCTGTTAATAAACAAAATATTATTAAATAACAGATAAAAGAATATTATTAGAAATTGGTCTTTATGTGGCCCCATGAGATCAGTGGCTGGATTTCTATACAGTGGACCAAGAGTTCTGCATCACAGTATATGTTTCACTTACCTTGCTCGGAACATTTTTTTTTCTTTTAATGAGAAATGGAGCAATTAGGGCGTTCAGAAAACCAACAATTTTTCAATCATTTTTATTTCTACCTTATGTTTAAATTCCTATATGTTCTGCCATATCCAAGAGGGTCGTAGAGCCAAGAATAAATTTGAGGCTAAGTGAAGAAGGCTTTTGAACAGTTCATGCCCGAAAGTCATTAGAGCCTTAGGAAAAATGAAGCACGAGGAAGGGAAGAAAGACCAGAGAGGAGAGGCAGGCTCCTCCGGCATGTTCTGAAACAGTACGTCAAGTCATCATTCCCAAAACCTGTTTTTCTGCTAATGTCCTCGGTTTCAAATCCAAATATCAAATGTAAATTAGTTCATTATGAGCAAAATTTAGTACAAGAGATATAGGTTGGATTTTATATTAATATATGAAAAGAAGGAACACAAACATTTATTTACAGAGGAAATGGTGCAGTATTCTTTGCTGGAAATTCTTTCATATAAAATATACTTGTCAACATTATTATCAGATTTTATCTTCATAACCATCGTATGGGGTAGGTACTATTATGTCCTCCCGTTTCCAGATTAGACCGTTGACCAGAGAGGTTAAGTGACATGCCCAAGGTCATACAGCTACAGCGAGTGGGAGAGCTGGTCTGGTTTGAGCCCAGAGTTCATGCTCTTGACCACCATGTCCGTAGCTCTGCCTGGGGCCAGGAAAATGTGGCCTTTGCTGACGGAGGATTTTGAGACTGGGGACCTCTTGAGGTCTCTGTCAGTCCTTCAAGTTAGTGAAGCCTGGAGGGGGCCAAGTGCTAGAGACAGCGGTAGTCACGATGGCTGTGAAACCTCATCATTTCATTTGAAAATACGAAGGCAACAAACTCTCTGGAAAGTGGGATCCTTGGAAGAAAAGCAAACACTGGTTGCATTTTAGTTGAGTGAGTAATTGCCTCCTGACCTTCTGTTCTCTATCAGCTTTGGGTATGGTTTCAAAAATAGATTAAACATTTGCTTATAATCCTCATAATTCCCCAGAGAGTCTGGGGCAAGGATAACAAAGGATGATCTTTGACCAGTGGAGAAAGTGATGCTTTGTTATGGTAAAGAACTTGCTCAATGCCATCCAGAAACAGATAGAAAGGAGGTCAGGTGGAAAGGTACATGCACACATACAATTTGCATAGTGAGCCTATTGTAGTGTGGTTCTTAAAAGAATGCATGCATGCACACGAACCATCTTGTGATAAAAACTCCCAGCCTATGCCTGAAAATCCAACCTGCTCTGTCAAGTGACTCCAAGCATTCCTTTTAAACTATATTTGAATGAGTAAAATTCCCATTTCCAAGCTAGTGCTAAGTACATAAGAAAAGCATCCAAATGAATACTTTGACCCTTTTCTCTCTTCCCACTGCTGCAGTGTAAAAGGCTCACTCATAAGCTTAATATTTTTTGGCTTTGCAATGATTTTGTTTGACGTACTATGTGTCTCTTGATATGCCAGCTTAAAGCTTTTTTGAGCTTTGCATTTTGCTCTTAGGAAGTTGCTGGGAATTTTGCAAAGTGAAATCCAGCATAGTTGTTGACTCTATTTTGAAAAATAGCCAAAAGAGAGGGAGGAGATCTAGCTTTACATAGAAGCACTTTGCTATATCTGTGTTGTGTGGTCAGACATTCAGCAGAATGTCTCTCCCAGTTCAAGTAAAGGAGCACAGTTTGGAAGAGTAATTCTGGAAAGACAAAGAATCTGCCTAGATGATCAAGGAAGAGCCGAAAATACGGGCTGGAGAAGTGAAGTCAAGAAAAAGTCCCCACTGGCACCAACCAAGTGCAAGCCATCTGTATCCCTTGCCTGGAACTCTAGAAGAGTTTCCCAATTCTCCTCCTTTTGTCCTTTCTGGCCCCTCCAATCCCTTTTCTACAAGGTGTCCAGAGGGAACTTCTAAAAATGCAAATTTGATCACCTCACCCACCCTATCTGAAACCCTTTAATGACATCCAGGTACTCTCAGGAGAATCCCAATTCCTTGATAAGGCCCAGAGCCTTGCCAGACCAGCCTCATCTCCACAAATACCCATCCCTCAAGAATGTTCCAGAATTTTTGTAGGAGGGGCTCTGGGTAGAGGAGGTTGCTTGGGTGGCTTGGGAAGGGGCTGATGGAGATCATGTGAGGACTAATACCGCACCCAGTTACCTCTTGGCACACTGCCTTTCTCCTTGCTTTGGGCTGCAACTAGTTTTCATTCTTTCAGTTCCTCAAGGCAGGGGGCTGGGTTCTTCTGTGCTTCAGGGCCTTTGGACAAGCTGTTCTCTTACCCAGGAACACACCCCCTCATTCAATAGACAACTGACTCCTGCTTCAAGTGGCGGAGAAGCTCCCTCATCTCTGCCCACGTCAGAGCTTCAGTTCCATGCTCTCTTAGCATCCACCCCACCTTCTTCCTTCTCTTTTATCTTCACCCTCACCTGCCATCTCTCCTCTCCTGCCTGTCTGCTCAAATCAGCTTCAGCCAACCTCACAGGACTCTCTCCAGTGTTCCCTGAATCTAATGCTCTCTCTGAATCCTTCCAGACTGGGTTAGAGCACCCCCTGTGCTCTTAGAGCACCCCTCTATGCAGCATCTGAATTGCACTGGTCGTGTCAGCTCCTTGAGCATTATGTGTAATGGCTGTTCCCTCTCATGTCCCCAGGGCCTTCACAGGGGTTGGTGCTCAACATAACTCGTGCAAATAGACAAAGCACATCTCATGGGGTCTTCTTGATTATCTATAATGATAAGCTCATTGCTCAAGTTTTTCAAATCATTAGATGAACTGCAGAGATTACTAGAAACTTGCATAGAGTTGGAAAACACGTAATATTCTGAAATATGGCCTTTATTAATCATCCTTCTCAGACAGCTTGTTAGTGAAGTTGATATCTACCTATCATTTAAGCTCAACCTGGCTGCACCTTAGAATCTCCCGGAGACTTTTGTAAACCATGAATTTTAGGATCCCACACAAAGAGATTTTGATTGAGCGGATCTGAGGTCACATTCCGGGGGATTTGGAACAGAGGTGTGGTCCAAGGTTTGGGTATCTTCTTTTGCTGATTTAGGTTAGAAGCATCTGCCAAATTCCTATAGGACTTCACTATCTGACATTCAATGTGTTCTAGCTTGAATTTTTAGATATATTTTTTCTCCTGAAATTAAGAAAAGTTCTTTGTGGATAGGGATTGTATTTAATATACCTTTGTATGTATTAGTCTTGCACTAAAAGAATTCATGAATTGAAAAATCTTGCTGAAAATGATTCTTCTTTCCTCCTTCTCTTCCTCTTTCCCTCCCTTCCTCCTTTCCTTGCAAATGATAAGCATGTATGTGTGTGCATTCATGCATTCATGCATGTATGCATGTTTGTATGCATGTATGTGTGTGCATATATGTATAGGCGTATGGATATATGTGAGTGTATGGATATGTGTAAATACATGTGTATGTGTGTTGGGGTGTATGTGTGTGCATGTTTATGCATGCATGTGTATGTATGTGTGTGTACGCACACACACTCATGTACTTACATGATGGGAAGAACCAGCCATTTACCTGGATAAGGCGCACAGGGTTCTGCATGATGTCCTCTCCCCCAAAGAGGTAGAGTCTTTGGTCTTTCACAGCAACGGCAGGATGGAGAACCCCCACTGGCATGCTGGCCATATTCTCCCAGACGTTGAAGATGCTGTCATACCTCTCCATGGAGCCCATGAGCTCCTGCCCTTCCCCAATGCCCCCGATGGAGAAGATGAAGTTCTTATGGGCGGTGCTTCTGTGAGAGTAGCGGGCTGCCAGCATGGGCTCCCCCAGCCTCCACTGATTGAGTTTCAGAGAGAAGATGTAGACGTTGTGGCTGACCTGACTCCTCCCTGAGCTGACAGCCATGCCCCCGAGCACGTAGACGCTGCGGTGCAAGGTGACGGCCGAGGCCTTGTACAGCCGGGTGGGGAGTTTGGCGAGGTTCTGCCATTGGCCAGTCTGTCTACTGTACAGCAGGACATCCCTGGTGGTCTGCTGGCTGTCCTTCCGTCCCCCCAAGAGGATGAGGAAATCTTGGTAAGAGTTTCTTGGAGGAACATGCGACAGGGGTTTGCAGTCTGGGACGCTGGTGCCATACAAAGAGAACAGCTGCCTCTTCGCCATCTCCAAGATGGTCTGGCATGCAGGCGAGGATTGCAGGAGGGCGTCGTTGGCGATGAAGTGGTGGAAGAAGGCTGGGTGGATGTACTGGAGCCTGACCTGCTCGAACAGTTCCTGAACATGTCGTTTCCGGGCCTGGAGGTCGTGCTTGATCCAAGCCATGAGGGCCTCAAACACCTTTTCCTCCTCCCCACAGAGCCCGTCATCTCCGAGGTAGTCTCTCAACTCCAAGGCGCAGAGCTCCTTCAGGTCAGCAGATGCGGCCACCTCTGGGAAGTATGTCAGGGCTACCTCCCTGGCTTTCTTCTTGAGGGTCTCGCAGCTTAGGATTTCAGCGAGCCTGAGCATGCCCAGGCAGTTGCTGGGGGCCAGCTGGCTCTGCAGGAATGAGGAGCAGGCCTCAAACAGCTTGGGGTACTGCAGCATGGAAGCGGCCTCCATCAAGGGAAGGACGTTGTCGGCGGCGATGCACACCTCCCCCGTGTACACATAGGACACAATCCGGTCCAGGGTTGGGGAGTCGATGCCTTTCAGCTGGACTTTGGCCTCTCTGTTCTCCCGGAAGCTGCTGCAGAACATGGCCCGGAAGTAGGGGCTGCTGGAGGCCAGCACATTGCGGTGGCAGGGGACCTCCTGGGTGCCGGTGCAGATGCTCACGTCAGTTAGGATCCTGCTTTGTCTTAAGCCATTGAGCTGCAGCAGCAAGTCGGAGGAGAAGTCATGGTCTTTGAAGAGCAGCCCGTCTGGCGACTCCTCGCCCATCCTACAGAGAGGGGAGGAAGCCCTGAGAGGGAGCACAAGTCAAACCTTTCTTAGTGGCATGTGCTGGAGGGTTCAAGCTGTGGGGGCTCCGAGACTCGGCGCATCTATATCGCTTCACCAAGACGTTTGTGGGTGTCACCAGGAATATAGCATAGGGAAGAGCAGACCCCAGACCTCAGAGCTAACGTGTCTCTTTTTGGTTATGATTGTTCTCAAGGGTCACAGGCAAATAGCATCTTCAGCTAATCAGAGAAAAAAACAACCACAAAACCAGGGTTGTCGGAAGTCACTTGACTGCCAGGGGCTGAAATGTTAGCCTGTAGCAAGACAACGGTCCACACATTTGACCAGCAGACATGCATAAGACTTTTTCCAGATTCTTGGCGTATCTGTTATTTAGTAAACTCATCTAAACTTCTTTTTCTGGCTGTTAGTCATTCCCATTCCCAAGGATGACATCCTGGGGGTGTGGCCCTCTGGTAACCAGACAGAAATGAGGGATGAAAATGGGCCTTTGCAATATACATATATTTTTAAAAACATGACTTCACAGAGCCTTTTTGGCTTTGTTTTAAAGGTGGAATAAATAGAAAGCAGAGACCAAACAATACCCTGGTTTATTGGATGACAGCTGGCAGACAGTCTACCGGCAGAAGAATTAAGCATTAGAGGTATTTACCTTGTTTTGCAGCAGTGACATCCACCGATGCCTAGTCCAACTTGTCCCCCAAGAGAGTTTCCACCTCTAGCTCCGAGCAAAACCATAAACCCTCAGGCCTTTCCTTTAGTTGGCAAATGATTTGTCCTAGGAGAGTTCTGGATTTGTTTATGCTGAAGGCACTTTCACAGTTTTCTAGAGCTTTGTGCAAGGACTGCTGGGCAGGGAGACAGTGTATACATTCCAGGGCTAAGAATAGTTGCATATGTACTTTCCACTGTTACGACATGTGACTTTCCAGTTGCCTTTTGCAGCAACCCGAGGGCCTGCAGGGCCCGCGCATGCTCACATGCTTTGTTTCCTTGGCAAGTGTTTACATCGGCAAAAATAGATGGGGAGGAACAGCTTCTCTTAGAGAAGACTTTGCTGCCCACTTGGAACCATCTGAGTCCCTTGTCCTAAAAGTACCTGGGAATTCTAGATGTCTGTAAACAGGTTACTGTGACCTATGGAGAGTCACTAAAGATGGCTCTGGGCCATGTTGAAGGTGGCAGGTGGTCACAGGGGGAAGCCAGAAGCTGGGCTTGTGGGTGCTGTTCAGTGGATTTCTATTTCCCACCATCTGCCTGGCAGAATCAGTGGAGAGGGCTGTGACTTCCTCCTCCAGGCTTTAAGGTGATGGAATCGTGACATAAGTTGTTTTTTGTTGAGCACCCTGGAGTTTCCAGACTCGTGAAAGACCAAACCTTTGTCGGGCCTCCTTACCCCGGGAGCTTCCGTTTGAAAGTGGCAAGGCTGTGCTCCCCCTGTTGCGTCTGTCTCTGCCAGACACGTGCCGATTGCTCTTCAGCTAGTTCTTTTTTATAGCTCAGGCTTCCTTTTCTGTTTTACTTTTCCATTTTCTCTTGTCTGGCAGGCTTGAGCTAGAGGCAGGAGGCAAGGCATGTTGCTCCAGGGACAGAGAGAAGGGGCAGGGGGAGGAGGAGGAGGAGGAGGAAGAAGAGGGAGGAGGGGGAGGAGGAGGGAGGAGGGAGAAGAGGCAACCGCCACTGATAAGAATCAGAGCCACATGGAGGCTTTAGAACCACCGGGGAGAGTGAAAGGGGTCTGTCCTGCCCCTGCCTTGAGGGAGGTCCGCGATTTACTAGCCATGAGGTGGGGAAGCCTGACTTTCTTTCCTTCTCAAGTCTTGCTCAAGCTGTTGCAACAGCCTCCCATGCTGCTTTTGTTCTTTGTGACTAGTGCTTCTCCCTCCAACACAGCCAGCCTGTCCTCACCGAGGAGGCGCCTGGGAAGGCGAGTCAGAATCTGCCGCTTTCCTGCATCATGCTCTTGGTTCCCCGTGTCTACAGGACTCTTCAGCTAGAACTGGATTGGTCTCCTGCCTGCTTCCAGAACCACATTTTCTCCCACTTATATTTTACAGTCTTGCCCCATCAGACAACTTACAGATCCTTGTATGCGTCTGGTCCCTGTTGGGTAGGCTGGGCTGGCCTTGCAGGTACCACCAGGCAGGGTGGAAGGAGTTGCAGATCGTAGAGTGGATCTCACCCAAAAGAGTCCGGAAGGTCAAGATCAGGAAAGTGTATCCAAAACAGGTTACTGGGGCCAGGGGCCTGGAGGCCAGAATTAGGAGCAGAAGGCCTGAGCCAAGGGGGTCAGGGACCCACGGAGCCACGAGCAAGGAGCAAGACAGAGGAGCTGTTCCTACAGATGTCAGAGCCAGTGACCATTCCTGGGCTTCTGAGCCATGCTGGTGACATAACAGGCGAGTGGCCAACTTCCTCAAGGAGGCTGGGGGCCTCTATTTTGTATTCTGTGCTGTCACATGTGCTCTTCCCTGTGCCATGTCCGTCATTTTCACTGCTCCTCTTCATCCTCTAAAAACTTA